GAATTGTCTCAAAAGGCACCACCAGGTGGTGCTGTTCGCGCTTCGCGCGTATATCCGGCTGCAGATCGTCCAGAGAGACCGGATACAAGATGGTCTTGCGCAAAAGATGCGTTGTTCCCCGACCGCCGAAAGCGGTTAAGCCGCGCACTTCCGCGAGACTGGGCGCACGCGACCGCGGGATGTTATGCGTATAGCGGGCAGCCTAACATCGCGGCGTTTTCGGGACACGTACATCGGCTTGGCTACATCGGCTTTGGAGGGGGGGCTTTCCGATTATGGATTGACACGCGTTTGTACATCCTCGCCGTCGTACCGTCACCTGCCGTATTTTCGTACCTTATCTGGCGTTCTCCCACTATCTTTCTCTCTTTCTCGCACTCCCCACAGTCTGTCTCTCTCTCTCTCTCGCTCTCGCTCGCTCTGCCGCCACGGGTGTGCATCTGATTCTGGTAAATCTGACAATTCAGGAGTGAACAAGAGTCTCTTGAAGAAGGAACTGTTTCTGGTCACGCATCTTCCTTCACCGTTGGCAGTGATCATGCTACCATTCTTGGACACAATTGTCAGTGGAGTGGTCTCGTATGGGGTGTTTCCTTTGTTCATGTTGAACGGGCGCTTGACCAAGACTGGGTCACCAACTTTCATGTCGCTGGGTTTGACATAGCGTTTATTGTCCGCATGCACTTTCATTTTCCCCTTTTTCTGGGAGTCGCGCTGGCGCACTATTTCTGTGACTGGGTTCATTTCAGGTACTTGTGGCAGTTTGTTGCGGACTGCTCGCTTGAAGAACAGGGTTGCCGGTGCAACTCCGGTTGTGTCATGAGGAGAGGTTCTATAGTCTCTTAACCACGATTGTAGGTCTTTCTTCCAATTGGTTCCACGAGCTTTTGACACCCTGACATGTTTCTTGAACGATCCTACCATTCTTTCCACTTTACCGTTGGCGCGAGGCCAAAGCGGTGTGATTTTGCGGTGCTCAAATCCGACGGTCTCAGAGAATTTCGCAAACTCGTGGCCATCAAACGGTGGACTATTATCGGATTTGACTTTCTGGTGTACCGAATGTGGAGAAGATTCGGTCGAGCTTCGGAATCACACACTGAGCAGCAGTGGAGCGGATTGGCTCGATAAATGGGAATCGTGAGTATTCATCAACGAGAAGAAGTACATTTTCTCCTTCAGCATAGGCAAAGTCTACACTTATCTTCTCAAATGGGCCTTCTGGTAGCGGTGACATTTGCAGCGGTTCACGTGTTACCATGGGTGTCGCGATTTGGCATGGTAAACAAGATCTGTCTTTCTGCTCAACCAGTCTGTCCATAAGCGGGAACCACACTTTCTCTCGCAATAGGCCCTTGGTTTTAGCAATACCGAGGTGTCCTTCATGTGCGATGTTCACAGTTCTTTCCTGAAGGCTAGTCGGTACTACGATGCGGTTCTATTTCAAGACAAGGGTATCGGTACACGTTAGCTCACCTTTAACGTTTTCAAGTCTTGAGAGTTCAGATAGTGACACATTTGGCAGAGGTTTGTGCCAATTACCAGACTTCATGGCTACCATTGTGGCCTGAAGCAGCAGGTCTTGCATGGTTGCTAGCTCGATCTCGGACAAAGTCATTGCCTTGGGGACAGCATTCTGCGCGACATAGGCAACATACTTGTCAGCAGATTGCTCGTCATCAATGTCCAATACACTTGGGGCAGATATGGGATGACACGATGCATAGTCTGCTGGATTGTTCGGTCCTGGTCGGTATTCTACAGTAAAGCGATAGTGCTGTAGGTCCATCAACCAACGTTCGATCCTGGCTGACAGTTTTGACACCGGGTTGTTAAACAAGGAGACCAACGGTTGATGGTCAGTGACGATCTTAAACTCCTTTCCATAGAGGTATAGGTGAAACCTCTTGATCGACCAGTATATCGATAGTGCTTCTCGATCTATTTGCGGATAACGCGATCCTGTCTCTGATAGCGGATGACTGGCGTAATGCAGCGGATTTGTCTCATCGGTTTTCTGATCCTTCTGTGTTAAGACTGAACCTAGGCCTACTGGGCTACCGTCCACAAACAACGTAGTGGGTTTCTCTGGGTCAAAGTAGCTTAGCGTGGTCTTTTCGGACAATGCAGCTTGTAGCTTTTCTAGCGCGGATTGTTCTTCCTTTCCTCAGGTCCAGGGAACATCCTTGCATGTCAGACAACGTAGCGGTTTCGTTATGATCGCAAAGTCTTTGATGAATCGCGAGCAGAATGACGCGGAACTTAACAGACTCTTGACTTCAGTTACACTAGTCGGTGGCGTGATTGCTTTCAAGTCTGCGACCTTCTTTGGGTCCAGTGAGATTCCTTTAGCGCTGAATTGATGTCCAAAGAACAACATTGTCGGAACGCGGAATTTACATTTCGGAACATTGATTGTCAGATTCGACTCGGTCAGACGCTGTAGCACACGTTTCAGACGCGCATCGTGTTGCTCAGTGTCAACACCTCCAATGTAGATGTCGTCACTAATGTTACTAACGCCCGGAATTCCCTTGGTCACGTCACTAACGATGTTTTGAAATATCTCGGCAGAGCATGACATCCCGAAGTTGAGACGCTTGTAACGCCACAATCCTACATGTGTTGAGAATGTGGTCAGGTTTCGGGAGTCGGGGTGTAAGAGAACCTGATGGTAACCCTGCTTCAGATCTAAATTGCTGAACACTGCAGCCATTTAAGTCTGCAGCGAAATCGTCGATGGTCGGTATGATGTGACGTTCGCGGATGATCGCGCGATTCACGGAACGCATATCTACACATATCCTGATTTCGTCAGGTTTCTTTGGTTTTGGAACAAACACTATCGGTAAAATCGAAGGTGTTGGTCCTTCTGAACGCTCGATAATATCGGATTCCTCGAGTTCCTTCAATTTTCCCTCGACGCGTTGATGGACATGAAATGGAATGCGACGGTGTGGTTGGGCTACTGGAACGATGCTGAGGTCTACATGGACTCATAACCGGTTCACTCTTATAGGCACCCATTCCACTCGTGATGTCAGGAAAGTCACACAGAAACTCAGGCGCATTCGGTTGCTCAGAAATCGCATTCGCGACTTTGATCAGACGTAGCTTTTGCGAGGTTTTCCAACTTAGAAGCGATCCACTAAGTCCAGGGACAACGTAGAATGTCTCCTTAGATGTACATTGGTCACTGCATACCTCAGCCTCAAATTTTCCTTGAATCACGAGCGGTTTGTCGGAGATGTACGGAAATATCTGAGATTTCGATGGTGCGAGTTGCAGCCGATGGTGGAGATGAAGGTGATCCTCCTGATTGAGAATGTTCACAGTCGCTCCTGAATCGGCCATAACCATGGTCTTGGTGTTGCCAATCATGACGTTGAACACG